CTACTACCGACGACGGCTGCGACTACGATGGCTCCCTGAGCCGATAATTCAGGGGAGGTGGACCTCATGAGTGGTATCTCATACCTTCTTGACCTTGTTGACCTACCATGTGGGGGGGGGTTTATTAATCGGAGGTTGTCATTATGTTCAGTAGGAGGTCGTCCATCAGCTTGGCCAGGCTTTAGTGAAGAAGATCCGGGATGCTACGAAGCCCAGTTGGGGAACAGCGAGCTTCATGGATCTTTTAAAGGTCTCCAACTGTGCCCCTTTCAGGGGGTAGGGCCACAGGCAGTCATGCCTCGTCCGAAAACTGTCACCAGGGTCAGGTGCAGTGTCGTGGACGAGCAAGGGGCACCCAACCACCATTGGTGTTCCCCTTACTGCTTTGTTTGGAGAATTGGTAGCGCATGTCACACGGTCATGTTTTGGTATGCTTGCCCTGAGGGAAATTGATCAATGTGTTTCACAAGCTGATTTCACTGAGATCGAGAGCAAGAAAGCTGCTCCAGCCCCAGTGGCCTCTCCAGGGCGGCCCTTGGGGCTTGGGGGTTATGCTCCCAGCGGCCATGCAAGCCCGGCCCTGGGCAACAGCCCGGGTGGGAAGGGGATGGCTAAAGGCGGGAGGCCGTGAACGATCGTGCACGTGTGCCATGCGAGGCCATCAGAAAGGCCACAGCCCCCAATGCAGAATCTCTTAATTGATGGACTTCATTATTCATGTTCATCTTCATATTCCGCAATTACATAACGATTCTGGTGTCAGGGCTTGGCGGCTATTTGAGCCGACCAACCGAGAACCAATGGACTGGCAGCAACTTGGCTCAAACTGTGCAGAGGAAGACTTCGACTATGTAGGAATGTCTTAGACTATATTTGGAGCTTTCTGTATTCGCCTAGGCCGGTCTGACCGCGGTCCGCCTCCACCAGTGCGAGGGGGAAAGGCTCCGGGCAGGGCAAGCTTTCAAGCAGAAGCCGTTTCAGGTTTGGAAATCATGGCGCCCTGACACGATGTTTGGCATATATAAATAAGAACTGTTCGTATTGATTTAGGTGGGGGAATGTACACACAGAGAAATAGAGAGACACATGCACCTCACAATTAGGTGTGCAGTATGCAAGATGTATGTAAAAGTGTACCCTCAAAATGATTTGTGTGCGATTCAGCTGCCGACCATTCCCATCATTTGCCGCCACAAGCCTTCGTCTCCCAAGTGCCTTCCCTCCAGGTCATTCCCTGCAGGCTCAGGGGTGGGTGGTAGAAACTGGGAACGTTCCCAGATGTGAAAAGGAGGACCACGTGAATTCGGTGTGCCATCGGAATTGGTGCAAACTTCGGTGTCTTCTTTCTGCCTTCTTAAAGTAATTTTGAAGGTCTGGAGAGCACTCAGCAGTGTTCTTTTTCAGGCAGTTTTTTTGGGGATTCAATCGAGGGGCATCGAGGGGAATCTAGATCAGATGTCTCGATCCCGGTCCTTGCATAGCGCATGATAGCGCATCATGCCGATGACAGTCTTGACATGTGACGTCCCAAGAATGAGTCTCTACCGAGCGCCGCTGAGCGCTACCAGGTTCCACCTGAAGAACCCCGGCATGTGCAAGAATGGGGCGGCTCGGCTGTTTGCAAAGAATCAGCGCTCTCCTTTGCGAGCAGAGCTTAGTGATTGACACCACAAGACCCTGCAGCGTAGGTCAACCAGCCCAAATTTTGTGGCGCAACAGTTGCTTGAGGCTAGAAATTACCCCCCACCACTGAGAAACTGCCAGAATTGGAAAGCTGCTACCTTTTGGATCCTTTTGGGAAGACTTCTTTCTTTCTTTTTTTCTTCCTTTGTTCTCTTTGTTAGGCCCTTGTTTCCCTTGCGCCAAGCTTGACCGGTTTTCGGACCTCCCAGGAGGCTTGCCCCTTCTCGCATGATGCCTCCGTGATCGCAGCGGCGCTGGGCATTGCCGCGCCCATGATCAACCCCAACGCGCCCACGTATAAGACGACGTCGGGGGGTCTCAGTCCCGGTGCTTGGGTCCGCCATAGGCCCTTGGGCGGGAGGTGTAGGAGCGATATTGAAGCAGCTCGTGCAGCAGTCGGGAGAGCTATGGAGTCGTCCCAAGAGTCTCCAGTGATCCAAATGCCAAGAGTCCAACTGCCTACAAGCCTACAAGTTCACAACAAATTCAATCAACAATGGCTTGTAGAAGTGTGGTTCGGAGTTCCCACTGTGTCGCACCTGAGGATGTGTCGCTACTTCGATCTCGGCCAATGTGCCCGGGGCGCGAGCTGCAGCTACGCGCACGGAGAGCAGGAGCTGCGGATCGGCAGGGTGGCCTAACTTTATACTGATCGCACCACCCCTAGCAGCCCTAGCCATTCATGCATTCATGCACCTTCCCTTGCCTTCCATTCCCTGTTTTTTCCCTGCCTCAGACCCAGGCCATGAAGATCATGAAGTGCTTTTCTGCTTTTCTTTTGAGAGGCTATGAGAAGCTTCTTTTTTCACGGCCAAGTCCATTACTGGGGGAACACGCCTGGACTTGGACTTGGACAACCGAAGCGCATGCCATAGTCAAATATAAGGCACACACACACACATGGCACACACACACATAATATATATATATATATAGAGTATATTGGTGAGTTTCCCTTCTGAATTTTTATAGCATATGGTGCATTGTGGCGTGAGTCCAACCAACCCTAAACACCTTTGCTCGGACAGCCTCTCCTTTGCAAAGCCCAAGCCCGTTTCAGATTATTCTGTAATCATGAAGTCGCGAACACAACGCGAGCACGCGAGCACGCGAGCACAAATGCCACCCCTTCTCCTTGCTGCTTGGTCCCCTTTCAATTTGTCCTGAAGGAGTACTTACACACTCGTTCCTTCATTGTGCTGCACTCTGCCACTAGTTCCTGTGCTCGAGGCTTGACTGCGGCCCAGCAGAATGCCGGCGGCGTGAAGCGGGTCTTTTCAGAGGTGGAGGGAAGGGAGAAGGATGAATGCAGAGAATCCTGAAACGTCTCAGTCTCTCACGTCTTTTTCTCAGATCTCATGTAGATCCATTTGAAGATACGCGCATCCTGCAGCCATTTGGCCCTTTATACATGCTCGGCATGTTGCAACATCCCTCTCTCCCACCCTCCGCCGCCGCCTCGGCGGCCTTGGCCTCCGCCTCGGCCTCCGCCTCGGCCTCCGCCTCCCGGCGTCCACGGAGCGCGGCCGCGGAGGCGCCGCTGCCGCGCGGCGTCGCTCGCTGGGCGGCCGCGGGTGTCCTGGGCGGCTCGGTGGCGAGGAGGCACGCACGGCGACGTGAGGAGATGCTTGGAGGCAGAGACGTGTATGCGGCTTAATTGGCAATGCAAAAAAGCTAGGAGCTGGATTTGATATTTGGCACCGAGCTAGCTAAGTTGCCGATCATAATCATCCATTTTGTTTAGTGATGGTTGATTGATGAGTTCTTGCCCCCTTTGGTGTTGGTACTTTTGCACACTCTAAATGACTTGATGGCACGCGTGTCTCGATTTCAAGGAGCTTTGCAGCTCAGAGCACTGGGCTTTTGCCGCTGGATTTGGTGATCGGTGGTGGCTTGCCATACGGCCTGGTAGAGATCTTTGGTCGCCCGCAGGTGCACTGCGGGTGGACAACTTCGTAGTCTTCCCGGTATCTTTGGGAAAGTCTTCAGGTTTGTTGCTTTACCTGCACCGATCTTTGATGGTTTCTCTTTCGTGGATAGTGTAGTGTGCGATTTCATCCCAGCATTCCGAAAGACCAGCCGGTCCTTGGAGGCCGTAGGTCGGTCCGCAGGTCGGCAAGACCAGTCTGGCGCTCAGCTGCTTACAAGCTGCGCTGAAGCAAGGACGGAGGTGCGGTAGGGAGACTGCGAGTCATGCGAGAGACATGAATGCAAGGTGAAGAGACATGTGAGTCGTTGACCCTGAACCACAGACTGGTCCCATCACCGCAGGTGTTTTAAAGAGCAGACGTAAGGAGCAATGACTCAGGCTGCCTGAAGTCTGTGGAGGTACCACACATGACATGATCTTCGTCAGCTTCCCTCTTTTGTTAAAGCTGATGACATCGCCTAATTAGTGTCCGTTCAAGGCTTCACAAGTTCACATAAATTCACCAAGAACGGGAGGATGTTCTCATTTGCGGCACCTCGCTACGCCTCGGCAATGCGCCTTTGAGGTGTGTGGTGTTCGACGTGGACCGCACCTGGCCGCGGGAAAGATGCAGCTGAGATCAACTGAGATGAATATTATATGATATTATGAGGAAGTTAGAGTCAGGTAGAGGTCTTTTGGACCTCTGGTGTTCAGGGCCAAGCTGGCCTTTGCACGGGTCACGTTTCGATACATCTTTTTGGGAAGGCGGTGAGAGCATCCCAAACACCTCGCTGATTCCAGTTGGCCCACCTGAACATCAAAAACCACCTGATTGACGTGGAAGCTCAAGTGGAGATTCACGAAATGAAGTTCTCGCGACGGAGTTCGGGCAGGAAGTATCTTGATTCATTGTTTTGGGAGTTCTGGGTTGCATTTCTGGCGCTGGCGCCATGCAGTGACCCCGCCAGCGACTGCTCTCGCCTGAGGTGACCAAGGCGGAGTGACCTTCATCAAGCCCACCAGCGCTGAACAGGTCTTCGGCACGACCGAGCAGTTGGTCCACGAGGGGTACAGCAACTTCATTGTCATTGATTCCGTCGCGCACGTCGTGACCAAGGCCGAGCTCTCAAAAGCGATGTCTGCCCGCAAAAAGAAAGATAAGAAGGGGACCTGGTTCAATGACGAGATCACCAAAATGATGAGCATTTTCTGCCGGAAGATGGAGAAGATCCTTCCTGAAAAGAGGGCAACAGTTATCCTCACCAACCATTTGAGTCACTTGTTTGAAATATGACTGGGAACCCTTCCGTCCTCCACCATATATATATACATGTAATAGACGGAGTTTGGAGCTCCTGCGTTATTTGCCCGGCCCAGGATATTACGACGAAGGAAGGGCACAAGTCACCTTTGGTGGGAACAGCCTCGTCTATCGCTCTGCTTTGCGCTTGGCGCTGACGCCGCTGGTGCCCCTAGAGACTCTGAAGGCTCCAGAGGTGATCCGAACTCGGGTGGACGTGGTGGCGAGAAATCGGAACGCAGGAGAACAGCCACACCGGCGGAGCGTCCGGCTGTGAGAGTCCGGCGGAACAGACGCATATAGAAACCGAGGGATGGCGTGGAGGAACATCCAACGAAATCCAAGCCCTTTTGCCCTTTGCAACAGAGTACCCGAACAAACAGTAATTGCAGCATATTGCAGCATATTTCACGTTGTATAATAAAAAAATAACAATATAATATATATATATATAATATAACGTTATATAATTGTGCATTTGGTTCAGCATATAGCAACATATTTTAATTTCGGGTTTGTCGGACATTGGGAATTCCATCGCCATCTCATTAGTCCTCCATTATACTTGCAGACATATACTTAGAACATCGTTTTTTTTTTCCAAAACCCGAAACCCTTTACTTAGAACATCGTTTTTAGAACATCCTGGATTGCACACTTAGAACGTCCAAGGATTGCTCGCTTAGAACATGCTGCATCAGCACACTTAGAGCATTATATATGAGGAACATGGATAGATGCAAGAGGGTTGTAAATACATATACCACCTGAGGTCTTTGGCCTGGCGTAGTGGAGTAGCAGAAAAGATCAAGACAGGTCTACACGAGGAGGCTTTCTATGATGAAACAAAAGAGCAATCATGCATGTGCCATGGATTCCATTGTGAGTGTATGCACTTAGAACATGGGGACACAAGCAGCACGTTCCTGTCGCTTGGTGTTGGGGGTAGTGGTGAATAGCAAGACCACCTGAAGCTGTGGAAGCAAAAGGGGGATAGGAGCTGTGCATTTCCAAGCCGCGTGCTTGTGAGCTGTGTAATTATATGCAATCTACATATGCATTTCCACATGAGCGCTGTGACTTTTGCAATGTCTCAAGTGTTTACAGGTGTTTATACAAAGCCTTCCACATGTTCTATGAGTACATGCGAGACATGTTCTATGTATATGGCCTCATGTTCTATGTGTATGGCCTCAAGATTCTTAACACCTTTCACTTAGAACGTCGGCGATGTTCTTACCCATACGCTTAGAACATATTTGCCAGGGAGAAAAAATAAAAGATTTTTCCAAAATATGTTCTAAGTGTTTGTCCTACAGTATAATCTTAGGTCCTTTTCTTCTCAGAAACCAGCTAGGGGCCAGCTCCGACACCAGGAGAGGATGGACGGTCCGTGGAGTTTGATCTGGCCTTGGGAAAAGGCATCTCCTGGGAGAGCAGCGTCATCCAGGCAACCGATGCGATGACAACATCAATCAGACATCAACAGACTAACACTGATGGTATCAGCTCGAATTTCCCTCCCCATGCTGGGATAAACTGAGGATTGAGGATGGTTCAGAAGAGGCAGTTTGTTGTTTTTGCATGTTTCTTTTTTCGTGTTTGTTCAATGTTTGTGAGGAGGGGCGAGCCCCTCCTAGCCGTGCTTGGTATTGCGTGGCAAATCTTGGCCATTTGCCATGTGCCTACCTCAAGACCCCCTTCATTCGAAACCGACCCTGTGGCGCAGCCAACCTTGGAGCCGTGAAGACAAACCGTTCGGAACACAACGGTCCCATGGCCTCCACCCGGTCCCATGCATCCCACTGCCGCTTCGTCGGAACATGTGACTCGCATGAGAAGGCTGGCCTTGAGCTGGAACTTGTGACTCGCTCGGAGGATCACTTGGCACTTGGGCTGCAGCTGGGAAGGTTTTCAAGATCTGTTGGTCGGTCTGGTTGGTGGGTTGGTTGGCTGTTTCTGCAAGTAACATGCATGAACATCACTCACTCGACTAGCACTGGCGCTAGTCGTGTAAGTACTGCAGCGCTGGCGGATGGACGGATGGAACCCCTGGCAGCGCTGGTTGAGGTCTTCGGCAGCCACAAGGCCGCTCCGATGGATTTGAGGACATTCTTCGAAGAGCACCCCAAGGAATGTGAGAAGCTGGCAGGTGAATGCCACAAAGCCTACAGGCCTGAACATCTTGGCTTTGTACAGTTGACAGGTTTTTGAAGCCCTGAGCCAACGATCTTTACAGCTTCGAGCCAATGATTGCAGAGCTAATGATCATGCATGGGCCGTGGGGATGTCTGAAAATTCAGAAGGGAAGAAGGAGACAGACAGAGAGAGCAACATCCTCACACCCCGCCCCCGCAATAGGATTCGTGCCATGACTGGGAGATGCGAAAAAGCCACGTGGGTCAGATCGTGTGGATGGAAGCGGGACAGGGCTGCAGAGTATACTTTCTAAGATGTGGTTCTGCCAGTTTTGAGATCTTGCCTCTTGGTTTGTTGTGTGACAGGCCCAGCTTTCGGCCATGTTTGGGCCTGTCAGAGAGTTCATGCGCGCCGGGTTTTAAGCTGTTTGGAAGAAGCGTGTCTCAAAATCGCTTGAAGAGTTTTACCAGGGGAGATTCAAAGACTGGGACAATACCTCTTGTTTATGTTGTATTGGCCCAATGAGATTTGGCATGAGATCGTTTTTTTTCTCTCCTAGGGTCTCATCACAGTTAGCCGTTCTCCGCATTCTCTACCAACAGGAAAATGGCCGGCCTCGCTTCGCCACCTCAGTAAGGGGTTCGGGCAGAGATGCCGCGCCGCTGACAGGCCGCGCCGCTGTAAGATGCCGCGCCGCCCAAAAAGGAGTCGAGCAGGTTGACTGTTTGGAGGTGGTCCGGCACTGAATTTAAGCCAATCACTGCCTGGTGTTTTTTCAGAGCATGAAGGAGCTCCAGGGAGTGTCCCCAACCACTTGCAAGACAAGATCCACATCAGTCATGGCCTAGCCTTGTCGGCAAAAAGTCTTCCATCTTCGACATGAATCTTCTCTTCAATTCTCTTGGAATTTTAGAGAAGATGGAAGGGCTCATCTAGAAGTTGCTTAACTCGTGTGTTCATGGGCATGCATGGGCAGGGCAGCCATCTTCCGACGCTTTTCCAATGGCTCCAAAATGGTTCCCTGAACAAGTCATCAGCAGACGGTCTGTACTTCACCGTGATGACATCTACCTGGCCATGGTGGCGGACGCTGCACGTGCAGTCGAGGCTTCACATGAGCATACTATAGCAAACTCAATTAGAATATAGTAATCTCCAGGAAAGATTGTGAGACCAAAGGGTCTGTCCTCAGTCCTCCTGCAGTAGCTTTGAAAAGCAGAGTAAGTTCATGTAAATTCAACAGGTAGAAGAGTTTGCAAAAAGAGAAAGAGTTGAGGGGATTTTGTAAGCCATTGTCAAGTCTTTGGCTCTTGATTCAGCTGCTTTTTGCAGCTGGGACTCGGCATGCCGAGCAAACCCCGCTGAGGTGATTTTCTCCCATTTCTTCAGCAGCAATGTGTATTCACGTCGCTTCGCGACGGTAACCGCCCGCACCGCATGGAAGGGGCCAATATTTCCACCGAACATAGCCCCGGAAGTGACCCCCCCCTCCCCAACGTGGCCGAGCATAGGTTCCATGTTTCGAGATAGGGATTTAACATGGCCCAACGAATGCTTTTTCAAGTACAGTAATCGTAGTTGGGGGGGTTAAAAGACTGCTGCCATTTTGCGGGTCGGGTAAGCGGTGAGAGAGCTTCAGGAAGGAACACGATCTGGAACGGGTTCTTGTGCTCTTGGAGCCAAGGGAGTCAGTATGAAAGGAAGATAGGGACTTGAACGTCGCAAATTGATGTATCTTTTCTCAAGGTAGCTCAAGATGGCTCAAGATAGGCCGGGCATTCGGCTCAACAGGAGCAGAGATAAGCAGAGATAAGGTCAATTAACGGTAACGTGTTCTAACGTGGCCCGACATAGCTTCCATATTGCCGAACATAGCCCTAGTTTACGATGTTCAAGTCCCTAGCAGACACGTCCTTTAGATAGTGACTTCTAGGGCTATGTTAGGCAATATCTTCACTCTATTCCAGTCCCTTTTGAGCCTTCGTTGGGTCATGTTTACGACGTTCAAGTACCTATCTCGGCGAAGCATACTTGAGTATAGTGACTTCTGGGGTTATGTTCGACCATATGGGAGCTATGCTCGTGAGATAATGTTACCGTTCCTGGACCTGATCTGCTTATCTCTGCTCCTGACCAGCCACGTACCCGGACGTTCAAGTCCCTATCTCGCAGACACGTCCGTTAGATAATGACTTCTAGGGCTATGTTACGCAATATGGAAGCTATGTTGAGCCCCGTTAGGGGAACCTGTTCAGCCAAATGTCCGGTCTCAGTCCAATTACACTGTACCGCTCAGATGATGCAGATGATGCAACGCAGAAAGATAGCAAAGACCGTGAAAGGCTACAAAAAATGCCTCGGGTGCATGCTTGTTCAAGATAGCAAACATTAGCACGAATTTATCTTCCAGCACTTTAAGCCGGTTCCAAAAACGTGAAAAAGCACAGGATTCTAGAGCGAAAATGCCCCCCCCTAGCTAAAGCTTTAGTACTTGCGGTACTTGCGGTATAACGCGTGCCCTATAAAAATGCCTCGGCACCTTCGGTGCGGGCGGGCTTTGTACTGTTCTCACTTTATACTTACTTTATGTGTTGCACGTGGAGGCCCTGCTGAATCTCACTTTGCGCGAGGCCTTCTCCAACGTTCACGTCCTGGAAAGGCTACAGGTCACCCTGTTGCACGGGTGTTGTGTATAAAATTGGGGTACAGTGGGACACGACAGAACCTTTTTGACAAGCCCGCGCTGCCCCCAAAAATGCGACGATCCCGGAAGATACGGATCGATATATGTTGTTCACGACCGTCTCACTGATGTGCGGGAAGGTACGGTGCATGCTTGTTCACATGTTGCTGCCTTTCAGGACTGCTTAACTGCTTCACCGGCTTCACCTTTGATGCGCTCACCGCTCAGGCCTGCATAGATCTCAGTCATTGTTCATCGTGTTTGGTTCTCCATGTTTGTCAAGGACATGACAGGAACATTCGTGACGTTCTGAACAGCATTTTGTTTGATTTCGAACCTCTTGGTCCATCTTGGTTCTGAGTTTTTCTTGTGAAGGCTTTGCAAAGACCGTGAGGGCTCCACATTTGACGAGGTGTTGGTCGAGCGGCCGAACGACCAAGTCGTCGTATGACAGGAATTGGCCGGGGCCATGGGCCCAACCAACAATGCATAGCACTGCGTGGCAGCGACAAAGACAATATGTCATGTTTGTTATTGTTTGTTTGTTCACGTCCCATCAGCCCAACCCTATTTTTGTATTCATCAGCTAATGATGCTAAATGCATCTACTGTAAATGCTTTGCCATTCAAAAGGGCTATGCGTCCCTTTCTTGTACTTGCAGCCCTGACCTTCCCCGCACCCCTATCATCCTTACAATCGTGACTTCACACTGTGGCAGGTTCTCAATGACTTCGTCAGAGCAGGTGATCGTTGAGCACTATGTGGACTAGTGACTAGGCGGCGCTGGCGAGGGAGGAGGCGGTGAAATGACCTCACGCACTGCCCACCAACGTTTGACAACGCCTTTGCAAAATGCAATAATGACAATGACAGGTCTTCTCTTGTGAGCACAAGACTCGTATTGCCAAAGTCTCAGGAGCACCTGTTAGCATACAGGGTTCTGGCAAGTTCGCTTTGCTTGGCGTTGGCTTTGTACAATTGGATTCCATTCAACACTCGTCATGGCAGATGTCTCCACTCGCTGATCTTGATTTGAGCGTTCGTTTTGAATGTATCCACATTCGTCCACATTATATAGTCACTATAGTCACTAGTCGAGTTCAAATTTTGGCCCCAGCTTTGAAGGGGCTGCTCTGCCACGGGCGTGTTGTCTAGGGCCCCATGACAGCTATGAAGGTTTTCCTGTCGTGGGCCGCGCGGTTCTATCCCGTGAGCAGCACAGATGTCCAAGGTGCATGGCAGTATGTTTGGGGATTGACACCCACAGTGCAACCGAATTGGTTCTCAAAACTCAGTGGTGGCATCGTGTTTTGGGCGGTTTGCTGCAGCTGGCATTTCGCGCAACGAAAGCTGTGGCTCATGTGGGAGATGCCCGGTGAGCCTGGGCAGGCGGTCAGATTTCAACGGCCCAGACCTGGAGAACAGCAGGTGGTGCTGAACATTTTGGCTGTACTTCTTCCATCCATGTTCTGCTTCGGCTGCTATGCCTTTGCTCAACCACTGATTCGCTGGCTCGTGAATCCGATCTTCACGGCAAAGGCCCGTTGGGTGCAGATTGTGGTGACTGCCTTCATGTTCACCATGGCTTTTTGCAGCAACCACTTGATGACTTCGAATTGGGTGGTTTGGTCTGTGGGTGTCTTCACCTTCATGAGCTGGGCCTTTTGTGGTCGCACGGTGGCTACCGAAGTGGTGAAGCTGCCATGCACGGGTAAACTCTGCAAGCTGAAAGGATCTGAACTTCATGTCTTGAGACCACACGCGGCATCCGCTCTGAGTTGGCCCGGTGATGATGCCATCCTGGTGCAATCATCCTCGGACCAATCGTGGCTGTATGTGGGCTCTTGCGGCCGTGCCAACCTCTTCCGTCCCGACGTGCTGCTGGTTCTCCTGACAGCCTACTTGTGGCGTATGCCCTGGTTTATCCTTGGAACAGGGAACTACAATCAATGCCCCGGATGGGCCGAGTTGTGCATGATCTTCTACATCCCCTTTGGCTATCCATCTCTCGCGACCTTTGGTTTTCGGTTAGCTTTGGCGAATCGATGGAGCATCTCTGCAATGCTTGTACTAACAGTTTGGCCCTTTGTGAACTTGTGCCTTGGAGGAAAGGGCTGCAGCACCCTCTCCGAATTATTGATCGGTGAAACCTTGCCCGAAATTTGGAGCATCTCAGCCCGAGAAATCACCTTTGATCGAGGATATGAGACGTGCTCTGTGAAGGCCTACGATGAAGGGGGTGAGGCACTGCTAGTAGCAAGTACCACAGTTGCAGCGTGGGTGCACATTATGTCCAACTACTCGTTCTTGTTTGGCTTTGCTTATGGTTTGATCGGAAAATGCACGACTGGCTGGGGAAAGGACCTTCAGGCGGACGTGAAGATGACAGTTGGTGAGGCGACAGCCTTGAGCTGCAACAGCGCTGCTCGCGCCTAGAATGCTCGAATTTCGGAGCCTAAAATCACTCGAACTTCGGAGTCTCAGCTGCTCTTTTAAGAAACCGCTCCCCTGCTTTTTGGGACGGCTGCGCCACCTGGTACTGCATGCATTTTTGGAGTGTCACAGGCTGCTTTGTACAGCTGTAGGCCAGAGGCTGTGACACTTGCAGTCCAGATTCATTGGCACATGGTTATGCAGGAAAGAGACGTGCCCCGGTGTATCCCAGGCGCCGCCCTGCCTGGGCATTCACCTGCAATCAGCACTTCCACTGTATTCATTAGATGCAGCCTCACAAAACCTTATATAAGTCACGAATCATCGAGAATCAAAAAGAAGCTCTTTCAAGCAGTCATTTCCCCATGAGGGTAACCCACTGCCATCGTTGTGGCCTGCTTAATCTCGGCATTGTCTTTGGCGTCGGCGTGGGGGCGACCGTCCACGGATGGGCATCCGTTCAGGCTGGTCACCATAGAGGTCAGGGCCTCACCATAGAGGTCATGTTATGCTGAGATGTGTTCAGTGTCCATCCTTGAGATCGTTTGGGACACATTTCCATAGAGCCAGGTCACAGCCATTTTGCCGCTGAAAAGCCGTTGCAGCAGTCCTCACCTTGGACCGATAGATGTTTGCGGTCAGGCGTAGAGACAAAGCCAGCTCCTGATGTTTCCCTACTCAGATTATTTTGGGCATTGTGGCCACACGTGACCACTTTTTGAGGCTCAAACTAGGCTCAAACTGAGTGACTATTTGTAAAACTCAAGTCGTGTCATGCGAATGGCTGGGCGAATCCTCGTCCTTTTCATATCTTCGATCTCCCTCTTCGTGGAGGGTTACCGGGTGGTGCGTGAAGCGAACTCGGCGCTCGCAGTGGAGGATCCTACAAACAAGACCAACGAGACTGACCCTGCGGACTTTGAACTGCCTGAGACTTGCTTGACATTTTGGTGGTCTGTGTCCATTGGTATGTCTGGCATGTGGCCGTGTCTCTTTTACCAGGATTGATATAATTGAGATATATAATTGAGTAAAAACTCTGTGCCATGATGCGACTACAGTCTCTTTAAAGTCATGCCGGAATAATCCGGAATATGCTGGATGACACCAAGGATGGCATCTACATGCTCAACTCCACTGACGGCTGCTACCGGGATGCCGCCCAATTTCCACCCGGCGATCGACCGGGCCGCTACTGGCGGGGCAACGACCTTTGCTGGAGCAATTTGCGTGAGGTCCTCGAGAGGCGGGATTGGCCGTCGATGGGTCGTGCGATGTGGTGGGACCGGGTGGCCGCCGTCGGCTCACCAATCGTCAAATGGATGGATTTGAGGGAGAAGAAACAAAAGGACACCCGTGGTTGTGGGGATCCAAAGCCCAAACCCACGATTTTCGTCAGTTTTCTCTAGATTCTCCCTTGAACGAATCCAGTTATAAGGTATAGGTCTACAATGGTCGGGGTTTGTTTCTGGAGATCGAGCCTCCCACCGGATGGTCGGTCCTCAGGAATTCTCAGCGCCGAGAAGCTCAAAGACTTCAGAATCAGTCTACAGAGCTTACTGCGCAACCAGGCTACAGATTGATGATGGGCAGAGTGTACAAACGCTTCTTCCGTGAGAATCCTTTTCACGGGAAACCGATGTTGTATCCCTTTGACATGGAATGGTACTACACGAGGGTGTTAGATCAATGGTCGGTGGCTTGGAACTGGAATTCCACGGATCCAAGCACCCCTTTTCAAGTGAGAATGTGGGACGGTCAAAATGTCTCAGAGAAGATCTTTAACGAGAAAGGTCAATGGAAGGATTGGCTTCAAATGGTCCTCGAATCTGCTATTGCGCCGGATGGTGCTTTCGATGAAGATTGCCTCAAATGTGTAAGAACTACTTGCTCGGACTCGGATGTCTACATGAAGCAGCAGTTCTATTTGGAGCGCATGGAATCGGGAGATGTGTTTCCAATCCTAGGCACCGGGCGCAATGGTACCCAGCCGATGGCCAGTCAGATGGCCGGAAAGTACCATTTCCTGGGCAAGTGGATGGCCAAGGCCTACCTTTTGCAGGAGGACGTTTTTGCGCCGGCGAGCTTCCACCAACTGATTTACGACAGCCTCGTTGCAGGAGAGCCGGTCAAACCTCAAACCGAAGCTCACTACAGCGAGCAGGATACCATTCAGGACCGATTTGTGGCAGGGCCCGGGGAGGTTGGCGATTGAGGTGATGGGAGGAGGCAAAGATGTAGGCTTGAACGTTTGAAAGTCAACACAAGGAAGAGACGCAGCAACAAACATATTCAAAGCTTATACTGTACCTATGTTAATATTATATCCTGTTCAATGGCTTCATCCCTTTGAGCAAACTGGGCTCCTGAGGAATGCGAGTGGCTTGCGGCCATTTCGGGCAACCGTAGCATGCCGGCCTTAAGAACATATGCTTGGATGACGAGCTGCGACCAAGTCAAGGATTTCCAGGGTATGCTGCTGGTATGCTGCTCCTGTGTATTAGTCATGTTTAGTCAGTTTAGTAAATTCACTTCTACACTTTGCGCACAATGACAGTCATATTGGTCCTTTCCGTGTTTTAGTCCGGCAGGACCCAGGCACCGGAACATATGCGCACCAGGATTGCTATGTGCCCCTCTACCGCGATGAGGGCATGTGGGAGAGCCTCAACGTCACTTGGGGCCTCGTTGCGCCGAATGGTTCAGAGCCATCGGATTCGGTTCCTCTGGACAGCGCACGAGAATACACACAACAAACTTGCCTGGAGGTTTGGAACAGAGACGTCGTGGAGCCGGTGGAAGCGATCGTCAAAGGCTTTCGCGAGATGATTCCGGCCGAGACGTTTTGGAAGAA